ATTATTTATATTAGTTTTTATTAGTAATATTATTTTTATCACCATTATCATCATTAGCATTATTATTATTGTAATTGATATTATCTAAATATTATAAGTATGTCTCGGAGAATTTTATCTTTATTATAATTTTTTTATCAATAATAATTATATTTATTAGCGCTTTTATTGGCACCATAATTAACATTCTTAAACTTATTTTTGTAATTTGTAATTTTTGTAATTATTATACTAATATCTACTACGTTACAATTTGCTTTTAAGTTCTTTATGTCATCATTGCCATCATTATTATAAGCATTGTGAACAAAACAAAAAACAGCTATCATTACCGTCATTACCGTTACCAGCAGCATTATTAAGAGTAAGGTCTTCATCATTCGTTGTGCAACATTTCGAAATTTGGGTTAAGATCGGATAATTGTTTCAAACAACTCAAGTGTATTCCATCTTCGGCAATCGAACGTCGAAAACTTTGACTTGACTTGTTTTCATTTTCATGTTGTCCTCGTTTGTCCTCGTCCCAGTTGATCTAGTTTCTGTTGACACTTGTTTTGCTCGGCCGGAATGAAAACAAGCGCTTCAAACTGGGCGGCAAATGGGCGTTGCCTGATGGCATACAACAAGCGCACAAGCCACGACTGTAATATACCCTGGACAAAAAACAAAACAAAAGAAAACCTGTTTTCCAAGTGACTAGATATGATGTATTAAAAACCTATCTAAAATGCTTAGTCACTTGCTCTGTCAGCAGAAATTCTCTTCTATCTAGTCTCTCATATAGTGCCAACAATAGACAATATTATGATGCCAAAACGTCAAGTATTGAATATTCATTCAGAGATTCATTTGAGCACGCTGCGAACTGAATGGCAAATGTCCTTCAGGCCTTTTTGCATTCAAGTCTGTGTTTGAGACGCACTTTAATGGCACTTTTAGTTTCGCTAATCGCTTTATGATGATGTCTTCACAATGTCTCTCTGCGGATTCTGAGTGTACGTGTACGTGTACGTGTGTGTGTGTGTGTGTGTGTTTGCGTGTGCGTGTGCGTCTGTCTGCCTGCCTTTATGGTGTCTGCAGCACGTCAGGAATGTGGAGCAGGTGGTCTAGTTGTCGAGCAACTCTTAGATGCTGCCAGCATGCACAGCCAACAGCTGGGCGATAGTTAAAGTTTTGATGTGAAAACAACTCACGTAGTGGCTGATCAAAGTCGGCTAATGGCTGGCTTATGTCGACTACAAATTAAAATGGCAACCAGAGTCCACACGCCAGAGGCGTCAACATCTTGATGAAACTATATTCGGCAATCGACAGCTGATGAAAAGTCAGTTGGAGTCCTTATAGAGCAAGCAACTAAATCCAACAATTCAGAACTAGTTCAATCAATATTCAATATATCAAATTATCTGCTGAATGGCTAACAATTGCATTCAATTGCTCACCTCAATTTGACAAATGGAGTAAACAACTTCTTCGATTGCCGGACAAACAGCCAGAGTGACGCATGACTGGCTGACGTTTTGTTTTGGCTAAATGGCAAGTTGCTGGAATTGGGAATCGAGCTTCATGGTAATTTGGCCTATGCCAAATGCCGTTCTACATTTTTAAGGCCAATTAAGGCGGCTCGCTAACCGCTAAACAAAACTCGAAGGCAAACACTGCAGGCCGTCGTAGGAGAGCAAATTGGTTTCGCTGGATTGACAGGCCAATCAGGCAGCCACGAAATTCCAGTATTTTTACAGCAACAAAATCTCTTGAATTCATAATGCAGCTGTCTTCGTTTTTTTTTTTTTTTTTTTTTTTAATTTTAATTTTTTTTTTTTTTTTTTTCATTTTTTTTCTCTCAAGTTAATGGCCCGCGCATAGCTCTTGTCAATTGCATAATTGATAGACTCCCTATCCCTGGCCTGCTCAATAGCTGCTTGAGTTGGGTATAATGTTTTCAGTCTCTTGAGCGGACGGACGGGCGACTGTCTGACGACGTTTCTTCCCATTTTATTTATTTTTTTTATAGATTTATGATTAACTCAACGCGAATTTATAAGTTAAAATCGTGTTTTTCTTTGGGCGAAGAGCTTAGTGGCTGAGAGCTTAATGTGAATATTTGTGAAGGGCGATCAAGAAGCAATAATATAAATATAAATGACAATGAGGGGAAACTTCTGAGACCCTTGACTAGGACAAGCAAATCCTTTGAATGCCTAAGCTGGGCCTTACGCCAGACAGCGCTTCTGAATGGGAGATTAGCTATTCTTAAAGGTTAAACAATTACACAAAGTGCAGCAGGGAAGTTGTAGATTGGATAGATGATTAACTAAATAAATAAGTTTATGAATATAGAAAAATATCAAGAAATAGCCAATAATAATTTAGAGCTATCACTATTATCTTTGAGAGCAATATTACACAGTTCAATCTATGGCATTCCCCAGCGCGATCCTGATTCCTTTTCCTCTGCCCCTCGCCCAATCGAAACGTCTGCTGCCTTGCCTTCAACAGAATTTATTCCACCATTATTTTTGGCTTACTTCAAATGCTATTTGTATTTTCTCTCTCACCCAAGCAACTTTAGTTCATATATATATGTATGTATATATTTTTTCTTAAATTAAAACACAATTTGTTTGCTTTTAAGCACATTTCATACGCTTGCAAAAAGAATAGACAATCGCGACGACAAGATTTATGCCTTCACGCAATAGAAATTCAATCGTTAAAAATTCATTCAATGCTGACCTAATTCGCCTGGGCAGCTAAATATTGTTTAGTGGCCAATGCGGCGTATGCGTTATATTTATCATTTCGTTATCAATGGACAACTAAATCGCATTAGGCATGTACAACATGGCCGGGCAAATGTATCTGCCCCTGCCAACGATTTCAATTTTGTTTTCAAGTCCTCGCCTGTCGCCGATTCTGGGTCTGTTTTTATGTGGGTTAATGGGTCCAGGACGAAACTTGGCCATGCCGGTCGCTGTGCGCGTCTGCCATTTCGATTGCGACAAATAAAGCTATTAAAAAGCATAAACATACGAAATGCTTGAGTCTGGGGCAGGAGTCAAAGTACGGAACGGGGACAGCTTGGCTGGGCTTATGGCTTTAATCGTGGATTACATAAAGCATTAAATGGGCCAGAGCTTAATTTCGATTGGAGTTCGTTTCGTTTCATAAGCCTGCCACATGTTGCATGGCCAATCGCAGCTTTGCGCCAGCTCAATAGTTGCACAGCCCCTGACGACTGCATGGCATGGCATGTGTTGATTTTAATCCGAGCATGCGATATACAAATGATATTTCTCATTAATATTAATGCCGGACATTAATCCGCGAACAACAATCACGACGAGCCATCGGCTTATCGAGGCCGCAGCATTGCAGACTCCCCCCATACAGCTACTTAATGCGCATTCAGATATGTTAATTCAATTTCAAATTAAGCGAACACAACGTAAACAATAACAAATGAGCGACAGAAATACACACAGCGCTTAAGGCTACTACTGTTGGTGATGGGCAGAAGTGGGCGTGGCTTACATAGAGAATGCATATATAAATATACATATTTGTGATTTGCAATTGAATGCAGAGAATGTCGAGAAATGCGCTCTGCTGATTTTAAGTTGGCTGAGTTAAGCTCAGTTTTCTTTTTTATTTATTTTATTTAATTTAATATTTTTTTTTTTTTTTTTTACATCTTAACTTACTTAACCTAAAGAAAAGTTTATTAAGTTAAATATTTACTAAAATCTATATTAATTCTAAAAAAAAAAGAGTCATAGCTTAGAGAAGAATCTTTGAAGATTTTTAGAGTGTGAAAATATGGGTAAGACTAAAAGAATGAGGACGGTGTTTAGGTCCAGACATGATCCAGCAGATTTTTTCGTCACATTAGTGTGGAGTCAAAGAGAGAATCTTGAGCTCTCTTTCTATATATCTGGCTCTCATGTACCAAGGAGCCGCAGTGATTTTCCTCAAATATTTTGCTTGAAATACACGCAGTTTATTCGAGTACGTCTTGGCGGTCCTAGCATTCACTTGAATGGCGTAGAGTAGACTAGGAGCTAGGATGATCTTGACCATGTTTTCCAACGAATATGCCTGGCAAACAGCCTGGATAATTCAGCTGATTGACTCCTGAATGACTGCTGCAGTGAGCGGAGATTTTAAGCTTTCATTGTGTGTAAGTGAGAGAATTTCAATGCTCTGATCACGAGAGCACAGTCTGCTGAGTCTGAGCAGCTCTGCTCGCTTTAGTTCGGCTGATAGTCGGCGCAGTCTTCTCTATCTAATCTACGCATCTGCACACTAACACATCGTACTTATAAAGGGAGTCTGGTGGGAGACCGCGACTCGCTATATATACTCCACTGGAACCTAGGCTGAGTGTGACTATTTAGCTATTATTGTCTCTCTTCTATATGTTTGAGATCTTCTCTATTCTACAAGATTTTCTATACGATCTTGTCAGCTAATTCGAGCAGAGCTTTCACATTCAAAAATCCTTTATATGAGATATATCCTAAACATTGCTTTCGATATCATCGCGTTGTGTGTGAGGCAGAGCCCCCAGCTATAGCCAGCGCAGGCTCTACTCCACACATTTAATCTATTGTGACGAAACTGTGTGTTCCTTAGCCACATGAATCATAATTTGAATAAGCGACATCCACAACAATGCGAGCAATTAAAGTGGGCGGGGCAGGCGGAATTTGTTGGTTTAGTTTTATCAACTTGATTGGGCTGAGCGCAGATTTCAAGCAACTGCGCCCGATATGGCATGGTTATGGGAAAAGTTTCGGCTTGAAAGGGTCATTAAATCAGCAGCAGTTGATGTAGAATAAGAAGAAGAAGAAGAAGAAGAAGATGAGAGCGAGTCACAGACTTGCGGCAATGGCATCGAGCACAAACAAATCCAAAGACATGCGTACATGTAAAACTTTCGACATCGAGTTTTATTTGTGAAAAGTATTTTCAACCGAAATTGATTTCTTTCTTTGCAGACGAACAAAAGGAAGCAACAACAGCGCGCAGTTCACAAAAATAAAATAAAAAATAAATAAAATAAAAGAAAGATAAAAGCATCTTTTGGCCACATTGAATGAATGCAGCAACAACAACAACAACAACAACGAGTACAGTGAACAGCTCTGCTCTGCGCAAGTGATATAAGTTGGATATAGCACTCGATATGATGGCCCATAGCATATGGCTAAAAGCGCTGATCGAGCTCTGCTAATTGAACTAGTGGCAAGGTCAGCAACGGCAGCAAGCGCATATCTAAAGAGCTGTTGCCATGGCATCCAGCATGGATAACAATACCGTCTATTCCTACGATATATCCGCCACGGACGTGCTCTATCAGTGGAGCGCTTCGGCCAGCGGAGCACGTGCCGTCGCCCAGGACACATCTGCAGCAGCAGCAGCCGCAGCAGCAGCAGCGGCAGCAACCGAACGTGTTGGTTCGGGCAGCCTGAATGAGACGCACTTTCTGCTGGTGGACTATGCGACCAGCATGAACGACAGTCTGGACTATGCCTCCTATCAGCAGCATCTGGCGAGCACCGAGTGCCGCCAAATGGACAGTAATATAACCTACTGGAATCTTACCTGCGATTCGCCATTGGATTATGCCCTGCCGCTCTATGGCTACTGCATGCCCTTCCTGCTCTTCTTGACCATCATATCCAATTCGCTGATTGTGCTCGTTCTCAGCAAGAAGAGCATGGCCACGCCCACCAACTTTGTGCTAATGGGTAAGTGCCACGCCACCCACAGCAATTTATAAGCCATCATCATCGCTCATAAGTAAACACGGTATTCGATTATTGATTACAGTGCGGCGAAAAGCTTGAATTTTGCCAACTGACTTTTTTTTTCCGCTTTGAGTGTGTTATTTAATATCAGCGAGCGTAATTGGCGTTTAGAGTTCAAAGAGGCATTCAAACAGGTTGCCAAGTCTCAGCTGAGTACGAGGAATGGGAAGGAAACAAATATTGATTGAATTATTGGTGAAAGAGGAGAGGAAGAGATTGAAGATCGTACGATAAAAATTGTAGAGGGATGGTTTGTAATAGAATTGGTATGAGGTCAATGGTATATATATGAGAATATATATACCATAGAGCGACAATAGTATGCAAGAAACATAATCAAACTATGAGCACGGTTGAAGTTTATAGAAAATGCATTAAGTGCTCATCATTCTTATGAGAATCGCATAGAAAGTAGGGCTGATGTGTAAGAGAATGTCATAGACGAGTTATTCATTGTGTAAGAATTAGTCATAGTGTGAACGCATATGAATATTCAATATACTTAGGGTAATCAAAACTCGTGAGAATCACATAGAAAGGAGAAAACGCTTTAACGACAGTGCCTTATAAAAAATTACTAAAGATTTGTTGCTATTGAAGAATATTTTTCTATACACAAAGATTAATGAGAATCGCATAGAAGAGGAATACATGGAAACCCCATTTATAACGGCACACCGTTAACAAAAATGAATGAAGCTTTGTATCTGCTACAGATTCTAAGAGTTCAAGTTTACAAAATATACAATATTTTTACCAACATAAAGATTCATGAGAATCGCGTAGAAAGCGTCTACTTGACTCGTATTTAAAGGCAATGTACTCAAAAATATTGCCAAGACTTTTTACTGATGCAATATATGGAGCACATGCCAGAGTGAGTACACATAAATTAATAAGGCGTGCTAATGGTGAATCATTAAAGGAAGAGGGGGAATTGCAGGTAAAACAAGACTGGGAAAGAGGCATAATTTACAGGTAAAAAAAAAACAACTGGGAAGAACTTGCTAACACAGAAAGTAATTCGAAATAAGAACTTTGCTCTTAAAAATATTAAAGCTACTTTAAAATAGCAAAGAAAACAAAAAATTTGATAAAAGAAATTTTAATCGAGAACAAGCAAAACAGCTTAAATAATTAGAAATTGACTCAGTCAGGTAGTCAATCATTAATTCATGCCTGCTTGCATGCCTGAGAGGAAACTTTTTTCTGTTATGTCTGAATCGGATGCCCTTGAGATGTGTCTACATTCTGACATAGAGTAAAGGAAGTTGCACTGGATGCTGACAGTACGAATACGAATGGTGCTTTATAGAGAGCTGTGAGCCGGAACAGGACGAGTTTGAGATCGTTCTTCATACAGCATACAATTTGTACTAAAAAATATCAAACTCAAGTGACTTGAAATGCTTCCTGTCATAATTGGATGGAATCCTTTTGGACTGCCGGCTCACATGACAAATCAGACCACGATATCCAGCCCTGTGGTGGGCCAGCACCCTAGGACCTAATCATATAGGTCTACTATTTGATTTGATTCAATTTGAATACATTGTTAGTCACTACGCACGACGAGGCTAGGCAGAGTCTTAAAAAGCATTTAACGCACACTGATCGATAAATCGATATTGTGATTGCAAAGGATTTGCTTTCTATTGTCCTTCAAGGACAAGGCCTGCGCCAGTGTAATCGCTTCAAGCTCGTTCCAGTGAAACAGCCAGCCAGCCAGGCAGCCCTCTCGCCCCGCTCGGCCTCTTAAACATATTTATGATTATTACTTATTTTTTATTCCATGTCATTTCATCTGTGCAGAGTGCTGGGGCCCCTCATCGCTGTCCCAGCACACGCGCGGATCCATTTAATGCGTCACAATGTTAAATCAGGCAGAAGTTTTGCGAGATTTCAAAATAGCTGGCAATGTGCGTGCCACATTTGGGTCCGCCCCCCACGCCCCACAGCCGGCTGACTGTGGCACGCATTCCGCGTGCCGCAACTTCAAGTAATGCTGAGATATTCTAATAGCGTGTGTAATGCTAATGGCTGACTGACTAGGCGGCTGGCTGCCTGTCTGCCTGGCTGGCAATCGGGGAGCTTTGTGCTATGTGCCACTTGCCACTGATTTATGAAAAGTCGCTTGGCCAGCGAAACGGGTGCCAGTGGGGTTAAGGACCTGCCTGTGAGTGTGAGTGTGGGCCACCAGAGATATCAGTGGCGAGGTAATTCAATTTCCGGCACTGAACTGTGTGCAATGCAATTTGTAGCCGCAGATTACGTAAGCGCCCAGAACTGTTCGCGAAATGAAAAAGAGAAGAAATTTGTTCGCTGTTGAGCATAAGACAATGTAAGCCACAAACAGCCGCTCATAAGCCGTGTCATTTGCCTTTTGATATTCGTCCATGCCAAAACAACCCAAAAAAAAAAAAAAAAAAAAAAAAATAAAAAAAAAAATAACAACCAACACCAAACAACCAACAACTGTCAACTGTGGCATGCCATCCCTCGCTGCTTGTCAATGGGTTAATCGCATTGAATGCGCGTTGAGGGGCAGGGGCCGGACGCGGCTAATCGCATTTGGCTGCCAGCAATGGTGACAAGCAGGAGGCGAGCTAAGCGACAATAAATGACAGCAGTCCAAACATGAAATGAACTTTGACTTAAGCTAGCTGCAGAGCAACAGCAACAGCAACGGCAACGGCAACGGCAACAAGAAGTTGACTGAACATGAATTGAACATGAAACCCCCTGTGGAGCAAAGGTCGCCGTTGCAGAATAGTCGAGAGACAATGTCCGTCAGTCACGCAGTCAGTCACGCAGTCAGTCACGCCGTTCGTGAGCAGTTGAAGTGGCAGCGGAGCGACTTTGTCGTTAACGTTCCCGTCACACGGGGCGTATGATGAACTTGAACTTTAATGCAGCAGCCAAGTAGAATGTAATACAAATAAAACACAAAGTTGATTAGCCCATCGTGGCGACTGCTGCCGCTACTGCCGCTGCTGCTGCTGCTGCTGAAGCATGGCTGCAACCAATTAAAGCATCTATTTATTTAATTGACTCCTTTAGAACACTGTTAGCTGACAATTTTCTTATTGAATTACAGATTCCACTATTTAGCCACGCAAACACTGTCATTCGGCTTCCGTGGAAAATATTTGATTCAACTGCATTCTGAAACTTTTTGCCAATATGCATAAATATGATATTTATGATTAAAAAATAGAATGTTTGTATTTATTTAAATAATTTATAAATTTGAGGCAATTTTGTTTATTTTATTAATATTAATTAATATTATTTTTTATATATTTTATTTGCTTTAAATTATTTATGTATTTCAATTATATATGTATAATTTTATTCATTTTATTTATTTATACATATACTCAAAATATTTTTATATAAATTCAATTTATTTAATTTTTTTATTTTATTTATATTTTAGTAGTTAGTTTTTTTGTTTTTTTTTTGCATTCCATTAATTTATTAATTAATTTAATTAATGCTTTTGTATTATTTGATTTATTATTAATTTAATTTTAAAATATATGTATACTTGAAATATTTTTATTTATATTTTTTTATATATTTAAAATATGTTTATATAAATTTAAATATAAATCTATTTTTAGTGTTTTTTTTTATTTATTTTATTAAATTAATTTTTTAATTATCACATTTAAGATATTTTTATTTATTTAAATTATTTATTTATTTGACCATATCTTGAGAGTGAAGGCGTCTAAGTCTTCTCTAAGCACCGTTACGGGCAGAACAAACCCAAGTCGCCTATCTAGCCCAGCTGTTAGAGTGGCAATCAAACCTCTGAAGGTATTTATAGCAGCTTGAGTTCTCGCTCATTCAATTTCACAGTGGTTTTATTGCTCAACTACTCAGCTGCAGTGAGCGTACCATGAGTGAGGGTGATGGCAGGGAGAGCATATTAACAATAAGTGAGGGTGAGGGTAGGGACAGCATATCAACGTTTCCGCTCTTACAAATTAATGCTCCAAGTGTCACTCTTACACGTTACTTCATAATTTTACTTCATAAAATTACTTCATGGCAATTTAGATGCTTCCCAAATGACTTGACAGCTCACAATGTGAAAAGCTGAACAGAGTCTGTTCTAAAAAAGAACTCGTTGTTTTATTGAAAAAAAAAAAAAAAAAAAAAAAGAATCAAAATAAATCAGCACTCAGCATACTTAAAATATATAAAAATCGAAAAATCTTCGTTTGAAAGTTTCCCTGCTATATAATGCGATTTTTTCATAAACTACTTCTCAAGCAGCTTACAGAAAACTATTTCAACTCTCGACAAAATGATGTAACTATGTATGCATGGAATAACCAAGCATGAATGCAGCCGTCGAGCCCTTTTGGCCAACCTTGGCAAGAAAATGCTAAAAGCGAGTCTTTTATTCTATTATTCAGTTATGCGACTCTTTGTTTATCGCGTCACGTTTGCCTTGTCAGCAGCTTTTTAGTTGCAAAACTAACTTATTTTTAGTTTCCTTAGAATTTTTTTTTTTTTTTTTTTTTTTTTTGTTCCTGTAACTGTCACAACATGGCATTAAAAACTTGTTTTGCGGTCAATTCAGTTGTGCGATAAGTCTGTTATTCAAGTGCTTCATGCGGATAGACGGCCAGTAAGGCTCTAAATTGTAGAGCAAGTACTTCGAAATTTGAGGGTGAGAAAGCAACACAGATTGAGACAGAGAGAGAGAGAAACACTTGTAGATAAAATGTAAAAGTTAAAAGTTGAAGGAAAGTAAACGGAAGAAAATATGAAAGATTCAAGTTGGTCGGCATAATTTAATGAAAGAACTCTGAAGCTATAAAATTGTAGAAATATTTTATTTAAAATTGGCAGGAGAAAAACTGTTATAGATGACGCAAATGTTAAAGGAATGTAAATGAAGAAATGTAAAAGGTTTAATAACAGAAGCCCTAATGAAGGAGCTAAATTTTCGAGTTTGAGCTAATCAATAGAAGTCTAAACTAACTTTTAAGTCAATTCAATTACTGCATTGCGTATAGAATAAGTAAAAGAGAGAAAGAGCATGCATATAAGCGCCTTCTGCTCCTCCTGCTTCTCCTGCTTCTCCTGCTTCTCCTGCTCTCCTCGTCAACTGCAATAAAATCAGTTTGAGTTTGTAACTAGAGGCGGTGGGGCGTTGTCAAATATAAAGGAAGAAGCAGCAGTAAGCTGCAAGCTGCAGCTCTATTCAATATAGTAGTTTCTTGAACAATAACGTACTCGAGTTAAGCTCGTAAGCTGTGGCAGATGCAGCATAACCTCACTTAACTTGCCATGCCCCACATACATATACATATGTATGTATATGCTGTAATGTATACAAGCCTGGGCTTAGATAAACAATAATATAATTGAAATTTCAAGTGTCTAGCTTTAAGAGAAGCAAGTTGATGGAGCACGGCACACATACCATAAAGCCAATATACTCCTCTCACATTTGGAGAGGGGATATCGGATCAAACTAATGCCGAAAAGTTTATAAATTATGATATCAATAAACAGAGTCTATGGTCTATTATTAATGTTGCTCTGCTCTTCTACGTAATTAAGTATCTGATTATTCGCAAGACAAAGCTGCCCGATGGCCAACATCAAAACTAAATTAGTTAACTTAAGCAGAAAGCGGACAGTAAATGGCTTAAATGGAACCCTGGCCAAGGGGTCAAATTAGGAAAGGCCAAACGTGTTTTTAAGCCAAACTATGGGTTGGTCATTGTTCATTTATCCACACTCTAATCCAATTTGTCACATTGTTGTTTGTTCTCACTCTCACTCTCACTCACTCCCTCTCACTCTCTCTCTCTCTCTCTCTACTTTGCAGGCATGGCCATTTGCGATCTGCTGACGGTGGCATTCCCCGCTCCTGGCCTCTGGTATATGTACACATTTGGCAATCATTACAAGCCCATGCATCCGGCCTCCATGTGTCTGGTCTACAGCATTTTCAATGAGGTAAACAAAACAAAAAAAAAAACCCTAAAAAAAATAGAACAAATAGAAAAAGAAAAAAAGAAAAAATAATAAAAACAAAAACCTCAACGACAAAAAACAAAAACCACGAATGGGCACGCGGCTCAGTTTCGTGTTGTTTACCATAGAACTAGAAAAAGATGAAGATGAAACTGAAGAAGAAGACGAAGATGGGCATGAAGATGAAGAAGAAGAGGAGCTCGAAGAAGAAGAGCAGCATCTTTTAATTGCTTGGGCAAGTTCAAGAGGGTTACTTTTGGAGTAGAGCGCGTGGGGTTTGTTTAGGGCGGCAGCGAAAGGTGACCCCTCGGCAGGATGGCAGGTTGGCTAACAGTGGAGGGGCGAGACAGCGGCGGGGCAATAAGAGGGGCTCATATAGACGCTCATTGACCTAAATAAAATGCTTGACTGCAAGTTGGCGTCCTTTGTCTCTGCTGCTGCTGCTGCTGCTGCTGTTGCTGCTGTAGATGTTGCTGATGTATGACGCGTAGGCATTCTCAGTGCTGCGAATACCGTTATTATAGCCAGCCACCCTTAGTTGTATCGTTATCGTTATCGTTATCGCATTTGCTGCTACGTTACGTTTGCACTTTGTTTATGTTTGTTTCTCTCACTGTGTGTGTGTGTGTGTGTGTGTGTTCGTTCGTGTCATTTCTGTCAGCATAATGAAAGACCAAAAGTTGATAGAGGCGCAAGTTTTTATGCAAGCTGCCAACTGCCACAAACTAACTGAAGTGTCAAAAGCGAGTGGGCAGACTACCAAACAAACTAACCAAGCCAGTCAGCCACCCACCCACCCACTCACCCACTCAGTCAGTCAGCCAGCCACCCGCTCATTCAAAGTATTCAGTCATTCATTCATTCCCTCATTCCTTCGTTTGCACTCTCCGTGCTCACGCTTTCCCTCATTTCATTTCTCTTTTTTTTTTTTTTTTTTTTCGCCCGCGAAGTTGCCGTTGTCGCACGTTTGCCTTGATTAATCAACATTTTCAATTTATGGCGCTCGTTTAGAGCAGCAGCAGCTGATGAAGGTGTGTCGCCGGCTAAAGGGGTTGGGCCCCGAGATGCTGAAAGATGGCGGCATAAAGCAAAACTGTTTACTCATTTCAATGGAGTAGTGTCGAGCTGATAAGATGTGCCCCATTGTTGTCGCCGTTGCTGTTGCTGCTGCTGCTGTTGCTGCTGTTGCTGCTGCTCCTGCTGCTGCTGCTACTGCTGCTGCTGCTGCTACGTGCTGTGACTTGACTCCCAGGGGATTTGTAGCAGCCAAAATCCCATGCTCTGCCCCAGCCAAACAGCATGGGAATGAGCATGTGACGGAGGCGTTTTGGGGTTCGGGGTTCGGGATTCGGGATTCGGGATTCGGGGTTGACTTGAGTAGTTGGCGGCGTCGACTTGGAGTGGCCGTGTGTCTCCGGCCATGTCTCCGGCTATCTGCGTATGACGGCCATAAAATTCAGCTCACATACACAAAGGCTGTAATAACCGCCAGGCGACCATTGCAGCTAAACTTGAAGACATCTTCGTTACATTTCCCTCGCAATTTATGTGCCGCTCGAAAAAGGCACGGACGGCGCGTTTTAATGGTCATGTTAATGTGCCAGCCGAGTGCTGCTTCGTCTCTTTAACAAGCTCTCACAAACAGCAGCAACACCAACAACAACAACAACAACAACAACAACTGATACTAGACTCGCTGGCAGCTGTAATTGCAGTTGCGCTTGTGTTTATCTCTCGCCGAGTTGTTAGCTAAATCCACATAAATCGGATTAGGCCACAGTTTGCTGCATAGAATGCACTCAGTTATGTGCGTGTTGAACAACATGTAAGCTGCAACATGCATTGACTAACAGCAGCTTTTCGCTGCCAGCACTTTATGCCGACAGACCGAAAGACTGAGAGAGACAGAGACGGAGAATAGTGCTGTACTGCTTTAAGAGCATTTCAAATGCTCGCGCACTGAACTTGATGCAATTTAATTAACGCGATTTAAAGCTCAGCTCATAGAGAACTGTAAAAGTTGAAATCTGGCCTAAACCGATAGAAGGATTGATGCTATTTCAGAAGGATTAATACTATTTCCCATAACTACATGTATATCAAAACTTTTTTCAGTCATCAATAACAGTTGGTGTCTGCAATATTCAACAGGATTTGCCAATTGATTATCATATATCTAAGCCTAAATGTATTTAGATCTAAATGTAGTTAGATCATTAATGAAAATTCCTGTTTTGGCATCCTCATGGTAACTCAATGACTCCTAGATAAGCAGGTGGAATATCGAAACTGCACTTGAATCTTAATATCGACATTTGATACAAATAAATCGCTTTGGCCTTAAGCTGTCTGCAATGGATTTATAGAAGATTAGGATTTCCCTACTTATTTTCATTACTATTATTTTTTATTACACTTTTCCTCTAATGCAGACTTTTTTGAAACTGCAAACACCACTATATCGAAAATTGCCATAAATCGAAAGGAATTCATTGTCAATAATTCTCGAGAGAAAACTGTTCCCCTAGCTATTTCGAATTATAGGGATTCTACTGTACATACAAATATGTATACAATACATATAAATATAGCATATACATAGTACAATAGAAAAAGCAATAAAGTCTGAGTCTCATATTCCAAATATTCTATAAAAAATGTTTAATTTAATATGAATAAATGAATACAAATAATAAAAATCGCGATATGTGGAGCTAACTTATAAATAAATGAAATATTACCAGCAAAGCCAGTCAAGAGTTTTTTAAATACATGATAATGATGCATAAAACAAGAAACTTTTATAATGTTCTATCATAAAATTATAATTTTGCAAACGAATTTATTTCAAATGAGTTACTTTCATATTCCCCAGCATGACCAGCTTTATGTATTCAGCCTACTTTCTGCCAGTTCTTAAGGCTTTATTCTCTTATCTTTATTTACAGATCATGCCCGCCATGTGTCACACCATCTCCGTCTGGCTGACTCTGGCCCTGGCCGTGCAAAGGTAAATATGTAATAAATACTTTTACTTTGACTTTCTTTCCTTCACTCGCACATGTTTAAATATCACTCGCTCATCAACTGTCGTCGTCCATGCTCGTGCTCATACTCTGGTGCAGGCCATCCAACAACTGACTTACTCTGGCTCACTGACTGCCGGACTGACTGACTGACTGTGAGAGCTCTTGACTTGTCAAGGGGATAATAAATCAGCTGTGCTCAGTCGGTCACGTTGGCTGTCGTGTTGCCAATACACTCAGCGCTGTCTTTGCCATACAAATTATGCGCGAGACAACAAAAAATGAACGAACGAAATATAAGAAAATCCGGCCTGATTCGCTAGAGCCGTCTTTCGTCCAGTTAACGCGTCGTATGAGTAATGTGCGTGTTGTCTCTGCCAATGGCTATAAACATGACATATACTCCTACAGTGTGTGTGTGTGTGTGTGTGTGTATGTGGGTGGGTGTCTGTCAATCAATCGCATTTGTTTTACAAATCTCTTTTAACCTGCCTTTGTTGCCTACTTTTTTGCTCATCAGCTTAAACGATAAAAAAAAAAAAAAAAAAAAAAAAAAGCGATAGAATATTAATCAAAGAAATTATTGTATATATTAAATATTAATAATATTTTTTAAAATTTTTTAAATAACTCTGAGACATTTGTAAATATAATTTTTTTATATATATATTTCTGAAATATTTTACAAATTAATTACACAATATATTTTAAAAATATTATTAATATATATGTAGATTTAAATTGCAATTTTAATGTTTTTTTTATTTATTTATTTTTTCTTTTTTTTATATTTTTCTGAAGTATTTTTAAATAAATTTAACAATATATTTTATTAGCAAATTTGTATTTTTCATTTAATTCTACTAAATTATATTTTCCCAATTTCTCACTTCTAATTTCTGCTCTCTAGTCAAAGTGAAAGCAGAAATTTAAAGCGAGCAGTTGGGAAATTTAATTTTCAAATTTATTAGCTACAAATTTCGTCCTACTTGATATTTTTACCCTTTTCTCTTCTGATTGATTACAGTGTCTTAAAATTTTCAGCTACCAATTTTTTTTTTATTTTTTTTTGTTTATTTTCAAGATTTAAAACCTTTTTGCCATTAATTTAATATTTGTCAATGAATATGTTCAACCCAAGCACAACACAAATCTAAATGCCATCAACAACAGTTAATTGCCTCTAATTTGCATGCTATAAACTGTTGGCCAATGTCCATGGGCCAATTTCCATTTAAGCTTTTCGCTAGTGCAGGCAACAGAAAACGTTCTTCGACTAAAATGTGAAGTCTATAATTTAATTTTGCAAATTTATGACATCTGACTGTCACATAATGCAATCAAGAAACAGTTCTTTATATTTTGGCTGCTCCAAGCCAAGTGTCAACTGGGCTTAGGCTGTTCAAATTGTTTTGGATGCAAAGCCATAAATAAACTCAGTCCGTGTGCGAGGGTCAGTCAATGCTGTAAATGTTTTATATGCATATTGCCTCTATGTATATTAAAAACAAAAACCGAATGAAAAACAATCAACTAATATGTATTAAATTGGCAACATAAATCGTGAATGTGTACCCCACCCACCACGCCCCCTTCCAGGCACCTTTGTGAATTGTGTATAAAACCATTCGGATTCACATCTAAAAACTCTCGAGCGCGGCGCAAGGGCCACTTGAGGGCTGGCGCATTGTTCTATTAACTCATGTGTGGGATCATAAATTTTACAGCCTGTAAATAAATAACAAAAAAAAAAAAAAAAAAAACGCACCGAAAATTTTGGAGCCACACAAAAAAACGGACTTTGAGGAGCAGCAGAAAAAAAAAAAAAGAAAAATAGAAAAACAACAACAGAAAGAAAAGAAAATGTTCTACAATATAAAAATAGTCATAAATATTTGGGCCATTATGCGATGTGGACCGGTTCAAGTGGTCGCTGTTTCTGGCGGTGTGAGTGTGCATGTGTGTGTGTGTGTGTGCAGCAAATAGCTAAATAATTCGCTATGGTAGCTGGGGACACATTCAGCAGACATCCCTCAGCTCACATTTTGTAAAATGCGTTGAAAATTGCCCGAGGACAAATAGCGCGATAAAACAGTCAACGTTTATTGTTATTATTGCTGTTAGTATTGTTGTTATTGTAGGTGTTGTTGTTAATGTTGTTGTTGTTGCCATTTTTGTTGTCCAGCTGCGTTGCTGTCAACTTTTTGGTATTTCACTTGATTTTTGTGTGCTAACTGAAAGAACTAAGAATCAGACAACAATTTGAACGCTGTGACAACCAGCTAAGTGTGTGTGTATGTTTTTGTGTGTGTGTCCTTAAGTGTGTATGTAAGTATGTGAGATAAGATAAATTGATTAACAGCAAATTTAATATGGCTTTAGCCATATAAAGGAAAATATACATATGTAGTAATATAAGTAGAAGAAATAGTAGTAGCATTATTAATGGCATTAGACGCTCATAAAAATAAAAATGGTATATTATACAGCGCACAAAATGTGGTAGTAGTATAAATATTATTAGTCGAATAAATAGTAGCAGAAGTATTTAGTCTAGTAATAGTAGTAGCAATAGTAGTAGAAAAAGTAATAATTGCAGTAGTAAATAATAGGAAAAGTAGTAGACAATATTATTGATGTAGTAGTAGTTGCAGTAGTCTATAATAAAGATATAGTAGTACAAGTGGTGGTAGTAAATAATATAGAAATATTAGTAAAAGTAGTAGAAGTGGCAGTAGAACGCACTGCAGTACTAAATACTAGTAGTCTCGCTAGTAAATGGAAGTAGAAGTAGTACTAGTTGCAGTAGTAAATAATACTGAAATAGTAGTAGACATGGTAGTGGTAAAAAGTAGTAAATAATATTGAAAAAGTAGTAGAAATAGTAGTAGTAGAAACAGTAGCAGAAGTGGTGGTGGTAGAAGTAGTACTAGTTTGAAGGGTAGTACAATTAGTGGGGTCTACACTACTAAAAAGCAGTAGAAATAGTAGTAATAGTAGTAGAAATAGTAGTAGAATAATAAATGATAGTCGAAATGGTGGTGGTAAATAGTAGAAAATAAAATATAAATATTAGCAGAAGTAATACTAGTTGTAGTAGTAAACTATAGTTAAGGCAATCAAAAATATTAATAGAATTAGAAGGGTTTGCACCAATAGTAGAAATAGTAGTATTTGCAGTAGTATGTAATTATAGTGAATTTCGGATTTGACTGAAAGCTCTAAAAGCTTACCTATACCCTTAATATGCGAGTAGAGTTTAATAAAATATAATTCTCAATGCCTGAATTCCTCAAATACAATAAAAGTGATTTCAAGACACATAAAGTCGTCATCCACTTATCAATCCGTTTAAATGCCGTGATTTCTTAAGCTACAAAAGCAAACCCCTTCAAAAATTGAATTATTCAAAATAAATTCAAAATACATATATTTTTAAATACACATACATATATATTAAATACTTAATATACTCAAGCATATTCAGGTCCTCATTCTCTATTTCAACTAAGGAGAACACAAACGCTGTAGATATCATACGGCATTCCTAGCAATTTCTATGATGATAGCAGAGACTATTTCTGATATCAGAAGGATAGACATTACCTACTATATATGTGCATACATATATCTATATTGGACTCTACTGAATTTCGTATTAAACAAGTGCATTCGGAATGAAAGTTCTTCAATAATGTTTTTATCGTCGTCAAAATAAAAGCAGCAACATTATTTTATAGTCGAGTTAGAAACAATGTTGGCTGTTGGCTCATAAAATCGCGAGCAACTCAATAGAGTGGAAGGCTTATGAACTGCTGGCTGTTGAGCGTGGCAAGCCATCATTCGCAGCCATTTCAGCTGAGTCGTTGACTAAATCACGAAACGAATTCAAGTTTCAATCAAATGAGCACAGCTCCGAGTGATTCGAAGTACCCATTCAGCGCTCGCAATCAGGACGCATTGAACGTAAATCAGTTGAGTAATTACTTCGGCTGCCAGGCGTTTTGTGAGAGAAACTGTCCTGTGTTAGTTTATCGTGGCGCATTTTAAATACATTTGTGCTCATCCATCTTCAATGGAATATGCTAATTACTCATACTAATTATTTGGCTGGATGAATTGCGTTTACTCTGTTGATTTATTATTCCGCATCGCAGATGAACGCCCGGGCCAAGCCTTTTGTGCGGCAAGCGAAGAGGCACAAGCGTGGCTGTGGGGCGTGGCTAAATGCTGTTCATTCAATTATTAATATCAATTCCATTTAGGGCTAAACGCCTCGCAATCGTTTCGTCCTTTGTTTACGATTGCTTTCAACTTTAATGAAATCCCCGCTTGACAAAGGTTCAATGCAAGATTGATTGAAAACCATTTTGAAATGGCAGCCAGAACGAGACGCGCACCGGCAAAGGACACTGCGTGGGCATGGACATGGACATGGATGTGGGCGTGGGCGTGGGCATGGGCGTGCCCATAATTATGCGCATAAATTAGTCGGAAGGCAGAGCATTTAGAGACAGAGTCTAGCTTAAGCTGTGGCAGCTTAGCGCAGCCATACTCTCACAACAATAACTTACAGGAAAGAGAGGGGGGTGGGAGGTAGGTGCGGGAGGACGACCTTCAAGTACTAAAACTAAAAAGCTGCCCAAAAGTCGCGACCGAAAGTTTTCTTAATCTCGGCAACATGCGCGCTCAATGTTGGCATGGCGAGCGAGCGAGAGTACTTTGCGAAAATGACGCGAATTATTAAAATGATTAAAATTAGGAAATTACGAAATTATGAAATTAGCTAGCGCCAAGAGTTGATTAGGTTTGGCCTTAGATCTGGCTTTGATTGCCCGGTGCGGTCTCACCTGCCAAGTCGATTGGCTGTCAATTGATGGGGCTTGGCCTGGTGGGGGGGGGTGCGTGGGAATATTGTCAACACGTTGCCATCATAAATCCGAGGCGAACCAAATTGGGTTAGTGCTCTGCCTCGGCCTCTGCCTCGGCCTCGGCGTCGGCGCTGGCGCTGGCGCTGGCTGGGCCATCAAATTATATTAGGCAAATGTGCAGAGGCAGTCCTGGCGCTTTTATGCCTCAGCTCGGATAACATTTCATGAATAAAATCCATTGCCAGACACTGCATGCGCCACACACCATTTCACATTCAAGCACCATACATATATGCACGTGTCTGAGTGTGTGTGTGTTTGTGTGTGTGTGCGTGTGTGCGTGTCTAAGTGTGCGTGTTGCTACGAATGTAATGTATCAAATTTGCATGCGACTAGCTCACAGCTCTGAAAGCGTCTCCCGAAATTTGGCCAAGAACTGAAGAATAGCACTTGAAGCACTTAATAAGCATCTGTGCATCGCATTTAGATTTTAGAGTCTGTTAACTCAGCTCCATTCAATGCAGGCCTATGGCAGGGAATAATCGATAGGCATTGATCATTATGCGAAACGGAGCTCTTAAATCGATAATTGAAGCCTGAAGATAATTTCATTCACGCACTTTCCAGCTCAATTTCGATGGCCATTACAGATTATTTACTTGATTAGCCAATAAGCTGGAGCAAGCTTGAAGCATGGTATATTTGTATGGGATACTTCTTGTATTTCTCTCACTTCTCTAGAGTCGTCTTATCATTTTATTTATTCCCGATTTGTAGGACAATTTTTAGTATAAGCCTTATATGTATTTGTAGTGAGAAGCTAAGAAATATATATATTATATATGTACATATATATGTTATATAAGTTAAGCGCTCCCACACTAGAGTACTAGTGATTGGGGACGCTGTGTTGGGTTCTTGTGAATATATAACAACTTTGTGTTCAATGAAATAATATATTTTATACAATTTGGAACAATAGGTCTAAACTCTCTCTAGTCCGAATATAAACTGAATTAAATCTGTTCAACTGGTTAGGTTCTCCCCTTGAATGTCTGACTAGATTCTCCAGCCTCCTTAGATTGTCGAAAGTCTTAACTTAACTCACTTAGTTAAATATATTATATTGTATGTAACTTGATAAAGATAGGTCTTCGTTTTTCGGCTGGTTCTATAAGCTGGAAAATAACAAGAAAATCGACATCCGAATGCTATATCACCATAGCTGGCAAATATCAGTTGATTAGCTCTTGATGTCTTCAAATAAGTGTATTTTGCTCACTCTCTTAGAAAGGACTCAGAGGGCACCCGATTGCAACGTTTCTTCAACGAGTTCATTAGGACAGAACCTTTTTTTTCTCAGCTCTAATTTTTCTCCGCCTGTTTGGTTCAGTTGAGCAAAAAGTCTTTTGCATATGTGTTGGTATGTATGCGATAGTTGCGCTCGAAAAGCACATCAATAGCGTATATATAGTATGTGCATGTTGTATGTAAAATTCACATTGTGAATGTAAAGACCATTGAGTTGCTGAGCCAAAGTGTGCGATCGTCAATCGTTTCTCTCCCTAACGATGTTCGTTAAAAGACCATCACACGAACAATTCAACTCAAGGCGCTCATCAGAAAATAAAAGTGAATGGAACACTTGCTCTGTGAGTGAGAGAGTATGATGTTTGCTTGCTCAGAGCGAGAGAGTATGATGTTTGCAGCTATTCCCTGCAAGCAATATAAATATATCAAACATCTCGTTTTGCAGTTCTAGGCTCTTGTATATTATTTCATTAACATTATATGTATATACATTGGAATGCGGTTATAACGACGCTCAAGGGACCGCCGCTCTACGCTCTACGCTTTAAGCGGAGTCGTCAAAACTGAACTCCATTAGTTTCTAGAAGGGCGAACAGGTCAATTCAGGCAAAATCAAATACAGTAGAATCCTGTTATAGGGACGCTCAAGGGACCGTCGTTATACACGGAAGGCGCTATAACCGTATAAGTCTCTTAAGTCGTCATAACCTGATACTACTGTACTTTACAATTTAACTTTCAGTATATCTTGCTAAAGCTGAACAATTACAGACTTCAAATTCGTCTAACATTTATATATCTACTAGAGTTACCTTTCTTTGATATTCAGTTCATCTATAGACCCTAAACCGAAGAACCCAGTTGCCTGTGCTTAGTTCTCAAGTTAATCTCAGTTTTAGATATCTTCAATCTCTAATAAATAATAAATAAGTATTGTAAATATAAACCCATTTGAGTGCTCTCTTGAGTATCCTCGAAATGCTTGATCGTAATACAGCCACACCACATTCTAGCTTAAGTTGTCGACATCTACAAGAAAATCTCATATATCTCATATATATACATCTCATATATATACTATTAATTGCATTTCAGGTACATCTACGTGTGCCATGCACCGATGGCACGCACCTGGTGCACGATGCCGCGCGTGAAGCGGTGCACCTTCTACATTGCGTTGCTGGCATTTCTGCACCAGCTGCCGCGCTTCTTCGACCGCACCTATATACCCGTTCAGATCGAGTGGAACGGCAACGAGACAGAGGTGTGCCACCTGGAGACGTCGCTCTGGGTGCACGATTACATCGGCGTCGATCTGTACTACACCAGCTACTATCTGTTCCGGGTGTTATTCGTGAATCTGCTGCCGTGCATCATTTTGGTGACCCTGAACATTTTGTTGTTTGCGGCGCTGCGGCAGGCGCAGGAGCGGCGCAAGCTGCTCTTCCGCGAGAACCGGAAGAAGGAGTGCAAAAAGCTGAGAGACTCCAACTGCACCACCCTCATGCTGATTGTGGTTGTGTCTGTCTTTCTGATTGCCGAAATACCCATTGCCGTCGTCACCTCCATGCACATCGTCAGCTCGCTGATCATCGAGTTCCTCGACTATGGCATCGCCAACGTCTTCATTCTGCTGACCAACTTCTTTCTGGTGCTCAGCTATCCGATCAACTTTGGCATCTACTGCGGCATGTCGCGCCAGTTTCGCGAGACCTTCAAGGAGATCTTCATGGGTCGCATGGCCGGCAAGAAGGACAGCTCGTCGAAGTACTCGATCGTGAATGGCCCACGCACCTGCACCAACACCAACGAGACTGTCCTCTAGTAATTGGTGATGTTGGTGCCGCGGCGTGGCAGCACCGATCAGCATCGCAGCGCAGCGGTCTGTACGTGCAACGCCGCCGCTGCCTCTGCCGCAGTCGCAGCCGCAGCCGCTGCCGATGGCTCCGGCCTAAACGCGTCGGAGGCAATCAGCAAAGCGCCGCAGCATCAGCATCAGCATCTACATCATCAACATCATCATCATCATTTTCAGCAGCGTCGCACGAGCAACATGGAAATCATAGCCGAGGAGCGAATTGTCTAAGAAAAATGGGATTTATGAAATTATAGAGAGGGGGAGAGAGAGAGAAAAATAAATAAACAAAAAGTGCGAATACTCTGGTTTCAAACCAACTCTAATTACAAATAAAAGCGATAAAGTTCCATTTGGTTAGTTTGGTACTAGTTGAGCCAACCGAACAGCAGCGAGATATCTGTCTATGGAAAATGGAATGGACTCTACTGATGGGATAACCAGCTAAACTAAATACCAATACTAATACCATAAACAACTTTGATCACAGTTTAATACAAAAACAAAATTTCTACTATTCAAGTGCAACAAGTACAGATCTTATAGACGTTCAATGTTTGTTCTAGTTGACATAGGGATAAAAATAAAAATAATAATAATAAAGTTAAAAACCTATTGCCGTGTGTATTATTGAATGTGTATCACGTATAAAAAAAATAAATTAAAACTAAAATAATCAAATAAAAAATCAAGAAAATAAAATGAATTTTAAATATAACCAAATTAGTAATAAAATAAAAATAAAAACAAAAATATATATAATACTACAAAAGCGAATAAAACTGTAAATGTTTCACAATGCATTTCACTCTACTAGAAATGAAACATAAATTGAAATAAAAATGTTTACGAAATAAAAACTGATCTACTTATATACATATATACACAAACCTTAGCTATGTACTTACATACAAACATATACATATGTGTATATACATATAGCTTATCAGAAATCTTTTGAAATTCTTCAAAAATAGTGAACAAAATAAATATTTAAAATTAAGTTAAATTATTGTAATAAATAGAAAACAAAAATGAAATACAGGAATTAATTGACACGGAAATGGAGGAGAAACCGAAAAGGAAAACAAACTGATCTATGTATGCATAGCTCTAATGTATTTACATCGGATAAAGTTTATTTTTGTGCGAGTTGTTGTCCAAACAAAACGAGAATCTAATTAAAGTTTAAGCACTAATCTGAACTAAGCTAAAAAAAAAAAAATAATAAGTTAAAATTAAATACAAAACAAAAAAAACCCACGAACGAAAATATTTCGCAGAAACTCATTTAAATTCGTAAACCTTTTGAGCCCCAAAGTTTCACGAATTTAAATGACAGTCAAAATATTTTCAAAGAAAAACGAATTTCGAAATTTGACAAACAATAAGTTTCACGAATACACAATTGATGAAAGAAAGTATGGAAAAAACAATATATATATATATATATATATATAAATTATATATAAATATAAATTAAATATATATGTATGTGTACATATATGAATATCCAAATATATGTATGCATATATATGTATTCATTGATATTTAATAGTTATAGTAATTTTTTTTTTGCCTAGATACATATACATATATACACAAATACATACATACCTATATACATATATACATTTGTATAAGTAATAAAGCGATTCAATGTTGATATGTCTGTGTACAAGTACTTATTTTAAACAACAAGAAATAAAACAACAAATTTCAAGTTTAAATGTTTTAAATGTATGTAAATTAGCGGCGTAAGGGAAAGTATAAATAAAACCAAAACCAAAAAAAAAAAAAAAAAAAAAAAACTTCAAGTTTTCTGTCTGAATGGAAATAAATAAAAAAAAATCTGTGTAAACTTTAAAATGTTTTGTATGCCTTATTGAAATAATCGGGTGGGCACTTCCCCAGCCAAAAAGAATTCCCCTGCACTTAAAATAAGATATTCGCCCACAGCTAGTCTGTTACCGAAGCTTATGCTCACCTAATCATTTGGACTGTTCAGATTATATAGTAGGCAGCAGAGGCTATGACACCTTGAGCTAAATATTTAATCCTGATCAGGAAGCGGATGAGCTGAGGTATGGATATGATCGTGGTTTTATTTTATTTCATTTATTTGTTTTTTAATTAATTAATCATTTTTTCCTTTTTGTTGGTAAATAAGAGTTTTTGTGTTTTTATTAACATTTTTTTTTTTTCTTATAAGTTCTACCAAGCCTTATTTTAATTTTTAAATGGGGCTCTAAATAGCTTTATTTATTTTATTTATCGTTTATTACTTTTTTTTAATTAATTAATTTTGTTTAGTTTATTTATTTGCTGATAAGTAACAGTTTTTTTTTATATAATACTGTTTTTTATAGTATTTTTATTATTATTATTATTATTTTTGTTTTAATATATTTTTTTAAATTTTTTTTTAATTTCCGCTCGGACATCGTACCAACGTACTTTTTTTTATGACTATAACGCCTTTATGAATGGTCCAATTAACTCACCAGTTTTCGAGAAATTTGAGATATTCCTTTGTTAATACTAGCTTAGTATTCTAAATATTTTAAATATTTTTTTAAGGTCAACTTGAGGACCCTAAGAGCAACAAAAAACAAACGTAGATTCATGTTCACAGATGAATAATATTTTTAATATCAGATACCTTCGCCCACTCTACCTTAAATATACATATATGATATAAAAACTATATTTAAATACATAAACGCCTCAATCAAGCTCTGAAAGTATCAACTAGAATCCAAGTGATTATATGATATAATAATATGATAATAATATGATATACATTATATATGTATATATGTATATTAGTAATGTGCTCTAGAGTCTACCACAAGTTAGTAGAGCTGACAGAGCGGGTGTTTGTGGCGACTGCGCTCGCAGCCGAAGGCACGCGCAAAGTGCTGGGAGCTGGCGACGGCATCGTTGACCCGCTGCCGACTGCTGCCGTGCTCGCTGGTGTCCTCAGGCTGCAGATCGTCGCGGCAGAAGAACTGGGCAAAGTTAAGGAAGAAGTGCTGCTGCACCGCCGTGCCACACCTGGCGCCCGTTGCCTCTTTGTGCTGGCAATGGGCCGTGAAGTAGCTGTCGTAGGCCAAGGAAAGTCCGTTCAGGTCGGCGAACTTCTCGTCGGCGATTTCGGCGTGGCGTCGCTTCAGGCAAGTCTTCTGGTTGGCGAAACGCGCATTCGAGGACAGGCGCTGCCTCTGCTGCCTGCTGGCCAGCTTGCCACGCCCATCGTATACCACTCCACTCAGATCGAAGCCGTGGGAGAGCTCGTGCGCCAGCAGGAAGCCGAGGCCGCTGTGCGTAAACACCTTCGGCTGATGCGACCTGTACAGGTTGGCCGCCAGCAGCGAGTGCGGCAGCACCACCAGATTGCGCGAGAAGAGAAAAAAGCAAGAAGCATAGCTGCCAAAGCCGTCCGACTGCACCACAAACAGCCCGTCAGCTGCCTCGCCCTCAGCCCCCGCCGCCCAACGCTGCGTCTGCCTCAATAGGGCCAACAGATTGCCGTAGTAGTCGTTGGCCCTCAGCTGCAGCTGCGCGTAGTGCTCCTCCAGCTGCTGCTGCTGCTGCTCCGGGCTGCCGCTGGGCAGCACGCCCACACGCAGCCGCATGCGCTGCAGCTTCTGCAGCAGGAAGCTCTGCGTGGCATTGTCGAACCGATTGCGATTGACCTGCAGCTGCAGCTTGAACTGCTGGCGCAGCTGCTCGAACAGCTGGTGCATTGTGTCGTTCGTGTGGTGTCGCTGCGCGTGCGGCACTTGCTGCTGCAGCAGCCACACGGCCGCATGCGTCAGCAGCTGGCGCGACTGAGCCGCGCACTGCTGCCGCCCGAACGCCGGCGCGGGCAGCTGCTGCAGCAGTCGCAGCAGCCGCAGCTGCAGATAGGCCGCCAGCAGCGACACCGGCTGCTCGGCCAGCAGCGCGGACACGCAGCTCAGATAGGCCGGCCGACGTGTGGCACTGGGCCTAGCACTGGCAGCTGGCAACGGCAGTAGCCAGAGCATCAGTGGCCTCATCTGCTCCTGCTCCTGCTCCTGCTGCTGCGCACAGCGGCAGAGCTGCTGCTCCAGCCGGTGCAGCTGCTTCCACAGCCTGCGCTCGGCCACGCCCAGCGGCTGCAGCTCACGGTACAGCTGCCTGAAGCTCGCGTGCGTCAGCATCTCATAGTCACCTGCATCGCTCAGGTAATCCTCCGGATTGGGCCACGGCAACTGCAGCTGCAGCAGCCGCTGCTCTGCATCGCTGAGCGCCTCCGCCTCCGCCTCCTCCTCCTCCTCTTCGTTCTCGTATTGCAGCAGCTCGCCCAGGCCGTAGGTCTTCAGCAAGTGTATCAACGCACTGCCATTCCCTCTCTCGCTCGCACTCGCACTTTCAGTCTCACTCTCAGTCTCTCCCCTGCTCCACTCGGCGAGCCAGCGCACAAACTGCGCCGCATCGTAGCGCTTGTCGAGGCGCCGGCAGGCAACATAACTGTCGCGCAGCAGCTGCACGAAGCGCGGCTCCTGCGGCCCGGGCTGCTGCTCCAGCAGCTCCGCCAGGCTTGCATGATACTCGTAGTCCAGCTGCTCCAGCTGGCTGGCATAGACGTCATCGGCATGCGCCAGCGACCAGCCCCCGCAGGCGTGCTCATAGAAGTCCACGCAGGCATCGGCGCTGGCATTCATGTGGCGCTGAATGTAGACGGGCAGCCGGGCATGGCTGGCGAGGATTGGCCGCCAGAGGCACTGGCTCAGGCACAGACTCAGGCCAAGCGGTAGCCACAGCTGCAGCTTGCACAGTTCACGTACGTTGAACATGGAATTCGCGTGAGAACTGCGCCAAGTCGTTTGGCGATCGACGCGCTGATAGCGAGCGAAAAGCTAAGCAGCTCAGCTCACGCTGACACAGATGGCCCGCTTGATAGCACGGCCAGACGATGACGTCATCGACCCAATTCCGTTAGGAATTACACGATCTGACGTGACTTAATGGGCAGAGCACATTGCCAAGAGAGAGAAAGTGAGTGAATAAGAGAAAGAGAGAGAGAGAGGGAAAAGGAAAGAGGGAGAGAGAAACTGCACTTGCCTAATGTTTGGCATGGCAAATCGGAGAGATCTGAGAATTTTATGATTGACTTTTGATAGAGTGTTCTCTTAACCCTTCGTATACTATTAATTTAGGATAACAGCACTACTTATAATTGATTTTCTAGTCTTTAATTATGTTGTTCATATTCATTTAACTTATTTTTGAATTTTGACTCTTTATCTAATTTTTTTAATTTTTTTTTTTTTTTTTTGTTTATTTTTTTTTTTTTTTTTTTTTTTTTTTTTTTTTTTTTTTTTAAGCACTCTAAAATATTTTCATATTAATTTCATTTATTTAATTTTTATAAACTAAAACACTTTATTAACAAGATGCATATAGATTTCATTGATATCGCTTATAGATAATATTTAAAATTTGCAATAACATTTTTCTTTTCATATGTTTTTATATTTTATTTTTTTATTTCAAATTTTTAAATATTCTAAA